TCCAGGTGAAGATGATTCATCAGCTCGAATTTTAAAGATCAGAATTGTCTGTGTTGTAGTTTTGAAGCAAACATAGTGTTTTTAAAAAATTATTATAAATGACTATTTTTCTGTGACTTATTCTACAATGTATTCATCTGATAGAAACCTTGTAGCTCTGTTTTAGTACTCCGGATCATGGCTAACAAGTTTTTAAATCAATAATTTGGATGTTCACCCAACCAGAAGTTTGTAGGATTAAGACTGATAACCTCAAAGGAAGTGATGGCGCAAAAAAATGGTCACAAGTGCAGTTGCAATGAAAACCTGTGCAACAAAGAAATTAACTTTTCAGAAAGTGTTCACTGGTGGTTTGTCACCACAGTTTGCCAGCAGCACTCAACTTCTACTAAGCGTCTTGTAACACAGTGAGTCAGATTAGGTTTGCCATCGACATTTGTAGTTTGTTTTTATTTGCAAATTAGATTCATGGCAAACTTACAGTTAGCTTCTTCCTTGTCAAAGTTTAACCATGACTGTTTCTGTAAGCAGACATAGTTTTTGAATCAAGCGTTCAACTGCGAACATGCAAACTGCTAACACACAGTAAAAGATAAGCTGTTCTGCTGGTTGTGGTGCTGTTTCTTCATGACTCACCAGATGTAGCCGTGTTGCAGTTAAGCTAACAAGTCTAGCAGTGGTGAAGAATAAAGCCACATTATCGCTGCTTCTTTATACAGTTCCTTATGTTCATGTCATTTAAACACCAACAGCTCGGACTGTGGATGGAGATGCAAGAGATGAGCTAACTAACTAGTGAGCCCTGAAACCCTGCAGGCGAGCATTGATTCTGCTGCGCCAACACGACTGGTAAACATAGGAAATAATGACACCAAAATAAGAGCAGTCCATAAATAAATAGAAGAAGAAAGCACCACCGTCGTCTCCATGTTTGCCTCAGTGAAGGAGAAGCGTACGTATGCTAACTTTTTTTGATAATGCGTTGTATTATTCCACAAACGAACATCTACAGTTGCAGAGGGAAGGAAAGGGGGAGTGGCTTAAGATCAATATCGGACAGGTTTGATTGATGGACATGCAGTGAGGGCTGGTGGTGGGCGGGGCTTGTTTTTTTGTTTTTTTTTTTTAAATTTCAATATTTATTCTCCGTTTGTGAATCTCCGTGTAAACTCGACTTGCTTTGTGCTCTTTGAAATTAGCGGTGAACATTTTGAGAACACATGAGGGGAAACGCTTTGGTTTGAATTGGGTAAATAGAACAACATGTAAATATGTCTGATCTCTATTGTCGCAGTTTAAATAAAAATGAAATCAGACGAGCGGCTGCAGCCCGCCGACCTGCAATCAGACGCTTCGCACATCTACACAAACTTGTGCTGCTCCAACACACACAAACACACACACATTTGCAATCTTAATTCACTGCAGAGGAAAGGAGGCATGCTGCACACACACGACGCCAGGCGGAGCTTCGGCTGCCATCGACGCCAACAAGCAGAGAAAACAGCAGCGAGAAACCCAGCGGGAGGTTTGGAGGTCAGTGTCGGGGGGTCGGGGCTAAGCAGGATGGAAAACTGATCACTTTAAACAAAACTTTACAAACTAAACACGTGTTTTAGATAAAAATGCAGAATAAGTTAGAACAAGAAAGCGAGAAGCTAATGGGCTAACCAAACATGAGCGGTAAACATGGAGGCCGGGGTGGGGGTGGGCTACAAAAAACACCATCATGCAAACTCCACAACGCTTTTGCATGCCTTTTTTTATTATTATTATTATAATTATCACACACAGCAGGGTGGGCGGGGTCGACCCTCGTCTTTTCGTACAACAACTACAACACAACAGGAACAGGGAAGACACGAGGACGGGGGGCGCCGAACGCTCGGACAGACTCACGGAGCTGTTCGTTATAACCGATAATGCCTTTATGGTTCTGTGATGTTTGTCCGCTTTACAGAAAACACACACACACGCACGCACATACACACATACACACACACACACACACACGCATGGCAAAGCAACATCAGTGTCAACAAGCTGGCTGGTGCTACGACGGCATCCTCGCATCATCTTCACCGCCGCCGGACCGCTGCTAGACTACCGCAACGACTGTGACGCCACCTGGACAACCATCGACCGCCGAGAAGGTGGGGTTAAGTATGGTGGGTTTGACGCTGTGATGATGAAGCAACGGGCAAGTCAGTTAAATAAGTTGGAAATATCCAGAAAGAATCCAAAGGAAGTTATTTTTTAACCCTCTGAACTCCAGAACCTGCTGGCTGGGTGTGACAGGCATGTTGTCTTTAAAGAAATCACCAAAATTTCACCATTTATCAGCCAGAAACTTTCTCACGGTCCTTGAACTACTCATCTACGATATGTGGTTTCACTGGAAAACCAAATTTATCAAAATCACTATCCTACACGTCTCAATATAAAATTTGCCAAAAATAAACATTTTGTTCTAACCAGATTCTGTAAAAACTAAAAAATTCTAAACTCCTTGGTACAACTGAAAAGCCTTGACTGACTCAGCTGCAATCAACATTCACGTGACACAAAAAAAAAGAAAATATCTATAGTATGTAAGTTTAAGTAGAGTAAGTTTCTGTAGAGGTGCGGGACTTTATATTGCAGTGAAAAATGAGCCCACAGTGAGGAAAAATGTTACAGGAAGCAAAAACGCCCAACACCTGCTCAGAGTTCAGAGGGTTAATCGACTGCTTTAAAAACACTTAAAAAGACAGAAGCAGCCATGAAACAACAACAGCAGAGAAACTGATCTAAATCTACTGACGACTAATTTCTCAGGGGGTTTTTGGGGCGTCTGCAAAGCTTTGGTGAACACAGAAGTCAAGTTTTGGTTTTGGGAAGCCAAAGAATAAAATAAAAACTCCTCTCATCTCCATTCTGAAGCTAAAAATCCTCTTTTATTATCCTCTACATGGCATCACGGACACCAAAAGCTAACGGCGCTAACTACTCCTGAGAAGACACAAATTCCACAAAGCAGCAGCCACCTGCTCCAAGAAGCATCTCGCAGTAGTTTCGTTAACTTCTTGTCAGAGTGTAGCCTGAAGGAGCAACAGAAAATTCATGCAGAAATGAAACCAGAGAAACACTGGTGAGCTAGCCAGCTCGCTAACACCTTTTCTATCAGATGAAACGAATCTTATTGCTCTGCACTGACTGCCATGTGACTTTAAGGTGGTCTTTATGGTTGTTGTTGTGCAGCGAAAGGCCTCAACAGAAGCAGATGAGCCTCCGTATCACAGAGCCTGAGCGCTAACAAACACCTCTGTGCCCATTGTGGGGCAACTCACACAGTTTGTTACGTCTCAACACACACCAAGTTATCAGCAACAAAACCAAACACGCTTTTACAACAAATACAGTCTTGAAATGTAACACACGTGTGTTTTGTCCCGGTCAGCAGCGATGATGTTTGAAATTCCTCAGTTCTATTGAGAAAGAAGAGTGGTCCAATGCTCTAAACTGCTAATGCTAACACAGTCCAGACAATATGCTTTAAAACAACAATTGTCTTTGTTGTTTACCTACATGTTTGTAAGGTGACCAAAAAAGTGCCTTTTCTGTAACTGTCTCTTCTCCATCACACCCACAGAAAATAGTTTCAACAATGAATAAAAATAACCCCCCCAAAAAACAATCTGCAACAAACAGCTTCTACACGAATTACACGCTAGTGCTAAAGCATGCTAAGCTACGCCGTCTATAATGTGTGACACAGGAGGTTGTTTTTTTAATGGGAGTTTCCGGTGCATGGAGAGTTACAAATACGACGTGTTCATGCGTGTTGTGTTATATGAATGTGTGTGTGTCACATGTTCCACCTTCCACAGAGAAAATCCACCAATAGGAAACCTTCACACACACTCAGGCAGGAGATGGAGGGACGACACGAAACACTGAAGGTCGATTCGTCACAGGACGCGTCGCACCAACACAGCAGCACCACGGCAACCACGAAGCGACAAACGTTCCCCATCGAAAACAAATGAACTGGGTTTTTGTTTGTTAGTTGTGTTCTTGTTTATTTTACTTTTCGATGTGTTCTCTTCATTTTTTAGAATCTACCGGAAGAACAGCTGCGACAGCTCGATCCTCATTGGCTGTCACGGTTCAGGGAGGCGGGACGAGTGTTTCCTTTGATCTGAGCTGCATAGATTAACTGTCCGTCTCCTCCACCCTCCTTCAACCCTCCTGCCCCCCTTCCTTCCCACCGTTCACCTGTCAGGGATTTTTTTGTTTTTTGCCACTGGCCAATCACATCCTTCCCTCCCCGTGCTCTTTGGTTGGATTAGTGTGACAAGAAGGGGAGGCTGTTGTCGTGAGAACCTGTCACGCTCTTTCCTTACATGGCGTGTGGCAGGTCGGGCTGATTTGACAGGCTGACGTAGGTGAATGACAGGAGTGAGCAACCAATGAGAGGTGGTCTAAAGAAGCGGCTGAGCCCGTAAACAAGGGGACGGAGCGGGTTCTACCGGGTTCTACCGGAGTCGGAGGGCACTTGTCCTGCGGGTCACGATCTGCGCTCGGGAACATCGGTTCCTGAACGCAGCTCGTTCTCCAGAATGTTCCAGAAGCTAAGATTCGTCCCGCAGAACTCCCACCCTGCCGCCGTTGCCGTCACTGTCCTCGGAGACTCCCGGAAGATAAAACCAAGAAAAAAAGGCAAAACAAACAAACAAACAAACAATGTGGTATTGTAGCTGATGAGTTTGTACAGGTAGCTAACCCACGTGTTGCTTCATATGTTCAATACATTTACATCTGTAATAAATATTCGTACCCTCTTTTGTATATGTAGTTACGTCAGCTATAATGTGATGGCGTTTTTATTGTGTTTTTTCTTTGTTTTTGGAACCCCACCCTTGAACCCGAGGTGTTTCCTCTTATCTGTGATTGGATCGTTATCTTTCTAGCTGATTGGTTATCTGTCTTGCATTTGTGTTTCAAGTTTTTTGTGTTTTTGTCGTCGTCGTCGTTGGTGTTTCTTTTCTCTGCTGGCTGTCGGTCGGACGGTCGGTCGGTTGGTCGGTGTCTGTCGTCATGGCGGCAGGAGGCAGAGCGTCTTACATGCCCAGCGTGCCGCCAATGGACGACGCCAGGACCACGCCGAGTATGACACAGCAGATGATGATCATGATCTTCTTCTGCAGGGTGACAAGACAGACAAAGGATGACGTGTTGGTTCACCAGCAACAGGCATGTTTCCATCCTCCTGTTTTTATGCACATCTTTAATTTGTGCATAAAAACCTGAGTGGAGACACAGAAACCTCAAACATACCAAATTTAATGTTAAAAAAAAAACATCTGCAGGAAGTACCTTGTATAGTAGCTACTGGATAAAACTGTAGTTCCATGAGCATGTGTGAAATATAACAACTTGCATCCTGTTTTAGGGCTGTCTGAACCTTTGTTGTGACCGCAAGAACTTTCTCTGGAAAACCTTTTTTAAATGAGAACAAAGCAAAATCCTTGGCAAGTACTTCTTCCAGTCTTTCTGTTTTTACACTAGGACCCAATAGCTTTGAATGTGATGTTAACTCTAGTTCTATGAGTGTGAATTTAATCAATCTGCATCAAGATCTGCCCAGCACTTGGTGAAGGTTGTGCAGAAGTTCCATCTGTGGAGTAGGTACTGTGTTCTCCACTGTAAATGGCCCTAAGAAGGTTCTACAGGGATGGTTCCTGTGGTGGCGCCAAAACTCAAGATGTCCTTAAATGACAGTCTTAAGTTTCTTGTAAAGTCCTTGGATATTAGTTCCTAAAATAAAAGTTCCTGCAGGTGAAGATGGCTTGTGAACTACTATAACAAACCTCCATTGTTCTGTTTGTGCTGATAGAACTGGAGACACTTCAAGTAACTACGATTTGTTTTGTTGCACTTAGAGTTAACGTTGCAGTCGAAGCTGGATCTTACACCACTGTGGAACAGCAAAGCTGAAAGTATGCTGGAGTAAGTACTTTTTTCTCCTCTGAAAAAGGTTCTAATGGGATGGTTCCTGAGGGCAGAACATAGACCAAGGTTTGGGCCACCTAAAGAGGTTGGGAAACAACCCACTTTCTGAACGTTCAGCACAGAACATTAAGACGTTTCATAAGGTTGTTAGTTCTTGTGGATAGTTCCTGTGGAAAGAGGCTTTAATTGGAACTTCAGAGAGCTTGGAAATGGCAAGATTCCTGATCAGATGGTGACAGAACTATGTTGGACTAACAATGAAACTTTAAGAAACTGAACACACAGTTTTCCTATTTCCATTCTTCAAAGCATTTATCGTTTTCCTAAGACTTGTTTGTCTGTTTTCTCTCCCCTTTAACCTCACCCCAACCAGTGGAGGCAGAAGGCTGCTGTCCCTGAGCCTGGTTTTGTTGGAGGTTTCTTCTTGTTAAAGAGAGTTTTATCTTTCCACTGGTGCCAATCTCTGGACTTGTTGGTTTCTCTATATATTCTTGTAAGGTCTTCATCTTACTGTGTGATGTGCCTTGCAGCAACATTAGTTATGGACTGATGCTATTTAAATAAAAGTGAGTTGAATGGTGATTCTGGTGAGTACGTTACCTTGCGAGCCTGGCTCTGGTATTTGACGGCCTTCTTGGTGTCGGAGACGGCTCGCTCCACGTAGTCGACAGAGTGCTCCACGTTGTACTCAATTCTATCAATCATCTCTCCCTGAAACACACAGAAAATGTAACGCTCACACTGTCTAAACCACCTGTAACATGGTGCATCACCGTCAGTACTCACCTGGCTCTCCACCAGCATGGCCATGTCCACGAACATGTCGTGCAGCTCGCGGATGCTGTTTTCCAGCTTGATGATCTCAGTGTGTCGGGTCTCGATCTCGTTCAGGGCCTGCTTGGTCATCTGAGAGTCCATTTTGATCTGCAGCACAGGTTACAACCTGATTTTACCTCGAAACTTTCAAACTGGACTCTAGGGATGAACTTTTTGTAAAATATCCTAACCAGTAACCAGAAGTGTTATTAATCTAGAAATGGTTAGTTTCATGTGCCATGGAGCTACAGAGAGACTGTCCTGGCACACTTCAGCTCATTTTGATTTTGTGATGTCTGGCTGAAGGTCATTACCTGCCCTAGAAGTCTTTGTCATTGTGTCCTGTTACTTGCTAAGCCCCCGCGATACTCGCTGCTGAATCTACAGGATATTTTCTGGCATGCATGTCCTTCATTTTCTGCCTCATCGAATAATATATATTTTAATCTGGTAAATTATTAGTGGCAATTTAATGATCAACTGGTAATCATAACGATGCCTACTCCACTCAGAAAAACTAACTGGAGTGAACTTGAACCAAAGTTGATGCCACAGAAAAAGTGCCTTAAAGAACGTTAAAAAAAAAAAAAGCTTCCAATAGGCAAACATAAATCCCACTACAAAGAACAAAAATTGGCTGCCAATTTAGGATTTTGGAAAGTGTGATGAACATTACATCACTGCAACGCAACACTTGCCGGAAATAGTTCAAATTAAAAGAATTTAAATCAAAGGGATTTTGCCCTTTTTGGGCCCGGACAAGCTTTTAATATGAAACATTGCCAGCAAAGAACCAAGAACACTGAAGAGACTGGATAAAAAAATCTGTGGGAGAGAGCAAGTGATAAAAGGATTATAATATACAGTAATTGAGAAAGTACAGTCGTGACTTAAGAATCCAAAACTTCTTTTGTGTCGGATAGCAAGGCTGTCGGATTGTCATACAACCACTATGTATTGTAGATCAGCTGTAGTACCTGGTTGTTCCACCGGGTGGAACCTCTTACTATTTAGTACTGTAGAGGCCAAAGGAGGCCTTATTCAGACTACAGGCAGTTCAAGCTGGCAAGCAGAGGGCACTGTGGAGGTTTAGCTAGCAATGGACACCATGACAAAGATTTCTGTGACAGTTAATGACCTCTGACCAGAACTCAGTTGGTTAAAACAAACTGGGATTAACTAAGGCAGAGTTCTTATATCCAAGCATCTGTGTATCAGTGGACTTCGTTGCCTGTATAATTTGTCTGAGGCTGAAATCTGAAATATCAGCACAAGACAATGTCCAGTGTGCTTGATTTGTATGATATATTAATTTATGACAATATAATATATGACACCTGTTTGAGAGTGAATGTAAACGACAAAGCAAAAGGTTTGCTTCGTGTCGATACAGATCAGTTAAAAATTTCCTGGTTGTGCCCTGATCCTAAGATCCCTACCGGTGACATAACTACACAACACTCTCTTTAATTATATTTTTCTTACATTCTTCTCCTGCTACATGTGTAATGTCAAATGGATTTCTGAAAAAAAAAAAAATCCTCGTTTACAAATTAAACGTGTTAAAATTGAAAACTTTGACGGTAATTTTTGTGCCGATTAAAACTGTGTCTCGGTCAGTTATACTTACCTGCTGTAAACTCGGTTCTCCCAGACTCACCTGGCTCTGACATCACAGGTGGACACGGCTTCACAGCTCAGTGTTCAGTTACGTCAAACATCATCAGCGCCGCAACAAATAGGAGAACTTTTACTGTGAAGGATCAGATATCAACATGATCCTTCAGAATAAGAGCTCCCACGGCTGCTGGTGCCTCGCCCCTCCTCTGTCAACCCCTTTGGTCCTGTGATAAGGACTGTGTTCACTTGATGTCTCAGCGCACCTCGTGGCCATTCAGCATCCCCAAATTTCCAGGATGCAGAATGGCGCAGATTAAAGAGTTTAGGTGCGGTGCTTACATCATCGGTGAAGACGGCCAGCTTGCCACTCTCCAACATGTCCTCTAGCTCCTCGTTGGTAGTGGTTCTTCCAGCTGCAAACAGAACACAGAGAGTGACGTCATTCAGATCCGAGAACACCTGAAGTGTCAAATTTTACACCTGAAGCACCAAGTTTTTAAACCTTAATGCCATGTTTTGCACTTTAAGCTGCAAATTTTACACCTGAGGGCCACGTTTTACATATAAAATGTCAAGTTTTACACATAAACCATCACATTTTACATCTGAAGCAGGAAATTTTACACATAAATCGTCAAGTTCTGCGCCTGAAGCAACAGGTTTTTAAACTGTAATGTCCAGTTTTGCACCTAAAGCAGCAATTCTTACACCTGGGGCGTCACGTTTTGCACTTAAAATGTGAAGTTTTACACACGAAGTGAAAAGTTTTTCACCTAAATCATAAAATTTTACAACTGAAGCATTAAATTTTGCACCTGAAGAAACGTCTGGTTTTATCTCTGAAGACAGGCTGCACAAATCTGCACTGCACAGAACATCAAACTGGAGGCTGCAGTGTTGTTCTGTCCACATACTTTTGGCCGTGTGGTGTATTTCCAGCAGTGTGTGAAGGTCAGCTGAGAGAAAAATAGCTGCACTCCCTCTGCAGTGTTTGCTGTGTTTATCTGTCTGCATCAGTGTGTGTTGGAGTGTATTCATATCCACTGTCTGCTATGAGTGTATTCTGCCTGTTAGTCTAATTTGGGGCTGTGTGTGTGTTTGTGTTGTTCTGTGATGTTTATCTGCACGCTGAGTCGACCTCGTTCATTATTTATGACACTGAGGTACCTGAACGCCGGCGGCTGCAGGCGAACATGGAAACAGCTCGTGCAGGAAAACAGAAGCATGATTTGATTCTCCGCGTTTCAACTTTTTATGTGTTTAGGAGCAAAATAACATGTAAATAAGCAGCAGCAGTTTAACTATGCTTCTCAAAACCGTTTTTAACTGCAGGAACGTGTGGGCTGTTTTAGGGCGTCCTGAACCTTTGTTCCGACCCCAAGAACCGTCCCTGTAGAACCTGAGCAGAACTTCATTCTGCTCTGGGGAAGGTACGTCTGAGCGACCCTGAAAAACTGCTGAACAAACGCCATTTTTCCTTTCCAGCAGCTTCTTCTCCTCTCTAACATCACAACCAACAATGCAAGAGTTCAACAACAAGTTCTCCATTTATTCTAACAGAAAAACCTCCAATGTTCTCTTTCCTGTAGAGAACTAGAGTTACGTCCAGTAACAAGGACGTCCCGATGTCCACTTTTTTCTACATAATACAAACTTCAATTACATTAAAGTTAATAAAATCAGTCCAGCGTATCTGCTTGACAACTGAACTGGCTCCATAAAGAAAAAAAAACTGCATTTCCACCTTAAGTCTGTTCCTTAATGTTCTGTAGGTGCTCAGAACCCTTGTTGTAAAATCCGGTAGGACGCTGTCCAAAATGTCACGTTAGAGGGTAGGTATGCACTTTGGCTCTAAAAGCTTCAAAAGAATTATATATGTGTTCTCTACATTCAGACCAGAAAATGTGTTGTAGATCAGCTGGTTGTTCCACCAGGTGGAGCCTCTCACTGTTTAATACTGTACAGACCGGAGGAGGCGTCACTAAGACGACATGCAATTCATGCTGGCGAGCAGAGAGGCTTGTGGGAGTTTAGCTAGCAGTGGACACAAAGACAAAGACTTCTGTGGAGGTTAATGACCTCCAACCAGAGCTCATGTGTTTAAGACAAACTGGGATCAATGAGGACATACTTCTTTTATCCCAGCATCAGATGTAACAACTGCCTTTGCAGCATGCATAATTTGTCTGTGACTGAAATCACGCTGGCAAGAACATTGTGGTAGTTCAGTTCGCAATGGACGCCATGACAAAGACTTAATAATGGGACCGGAGCTAATGTGGGATCAAATAGGACAGAGTTCCTGTATCATAGTAGTATATGGAACAGAACTGACTCTGAGGAATAAATCATGTTTCTGTTGACCACAATAGCAACATTAGCACGAATGTTCACTGTGATCAGTTAAGGTAATTATATATATTATATATTATCCCAGCATCCTGCCACAAATTGTGCTGCCTTCACGGCACCTGCGTGACAGTTTAAAAAGGTTCAGGTTTGCTGATCGAGCTTATTAAAAATGACTAATAACTGCAACATCAGTTTTTTACTGTTCTATTCTAGCAGGTTTACTTATTTTGTTTCAGTATCTTACTTAAATGTTTTTGCTCTTCCACTTTTCAGACACTGCATGTCTTACGTTGTGTCATTTAGTTTTTTCAACATCAGCAGCATCTGGCACAAGAATTTCCTTTGGGATGAATAAAGTTTTATCTTATGAGTTAAAAATGCTTTCATCAGGACGTTCCTACCAGTAACTACTATCTGCTCTGGTCACTCTGAGATGCTGGACTGAGGCCGATCAGGGTGGGTCCTGTAAATGTTTCTGCAGTGTAAAAAGCCTCCTGTAGTGCTGTTTAGCCGGTCGATACTCACTGATCTCCAGCTGTCTCTGGATACGATCCTTGCAGCGGTCGCGGTACTTGGACTGCGTGGTGTTATACTCAGTCATCACCTCCACAAACTTGCGTGACAGCGTTGAGTGCTGCAGAAAGACAAGAAGAGAAAAAGAAGGAAATGTGAAAAAGCAGATCTTTATACCAGTAAACAACACGAAACAACACGAACCACGTTCATCTGGAGTTTTGTTTTGTGGCTTCAGCAGCTGCTTCCCTTTGGATTAATCACCTTTTAAACAGGATTTTTCATGCAACAGTTTTAGTTTTGTTGCTTAACTTGTGTTGATTGTGTTTTTTTTTTTAGGTGTGGCTTTAATTCATTTTATCTGGGCTGTTTGATGCAGTTTCATGGTGTGAATTTATTCACTTAGCAGCTGTGTTTCGTCCAGTGGGGCTATTTAAAGAGTTGTTAGTCCATCTCAAATCATCAGTGTCCTTCTGCTCAACAACCTATGATTTTCTTCAAACTTTTTGTCATAAAATATGGTTATTTAAAATGACATCTATAAAATTTTAAATTGATACATCAAATACTGCTGACATCATTAAAAGCAGTGTCAGCAGTTTTATTCTCACATTAAAATTTGAGGCTGTTTGACGACAATATTTCAGGAAATATTAATGATAAAAACTTGACATTATCACTGTTGTTTCTCATCATTTCATTGATTCAGATGCTATAATATTGAATGAAAAGATGAAATAATCGCTGATTATCCATCCATCCATCATCTATACACTGTTTAATCCTCACTAGAGTCATGGGGGGCTGGAGTCTATCCCAGCTGACTCAGGATGAAGGCAGGAGACACCCTGGACAGGTCACCAGTCTATCACAGGGCTACACTTAGAGACAGACAACCAAGCACACTCACATTCACACCTACGGACAATTTAGATTATGATGAGATAAAATATAAAAAATCTGAAGCTGTCGTATAAAGTTCCATCTTTGAACTCATTTGCAAAAACTGATCATGCAGAAGTCAACCAGTGATATTTTGTGAACCATATGTGGCTGCATGTCACAATAATACAAAACTTAGCATATATTTTGCTCATATAATTGTTCTAAAAATGTGAAGATCTGAGCTGGATTGACCCAAAACCAGCATCATTCTTCCTGCACTATTTAAAATGAAATATAAGCTGACTGATGGAACTTTTCAATAATTTGGCTGTGCATGTTCGTCACCTATACTTATATGTGTGGACATGAGGTGAGTTATTCAACCTGTTGTGTGTCTGTTGTGTGCGGAGGTGTTGTCTCAGCACACAGAGCTGTGGTTGTGTAAGCGGCTGCTGCAGCTGCAGTTCTGCTCTCGTCCACCAGAAGGCAGCAGACTGATGGAGAGCAGGTGGGAGGCAGCAGCCAATGACAGAGCAGAATACTGTAGGGTCACATCACAGAGATGAGACAGGCTGCGGAGGTGAGAGGACACGAATGGCAGCGTGTCACATGTTTCCTGCTCGACATGCAGTGACCACACGCTGACGCTCTGCACATGCTCAGTACGGCGCTGAAGCTGAAAAAGCTTCTGAGGAGAGAAAAATCTCAAATTTTGTAAGAATAAAAACTATTCCAACTAACAATCCAGCATGGCTCAGATCAGGGGCCCAAAGAAGGACGCCTGAGCCAGAGCCTTTGAATGAAGGGACTGAAAAAAATCCATCAAATGACCACAAAGAGACACAAAACTGCTCCGCAGATCACAAACAGACTCAAAACGACTCAAACAACAACATAAACCAACAAAAAAGTCTGAAGAGATGCAAAATAAAGACAAACAGATTAAAACTATTTGCAAGGATGCACAAAAAAGCCACTCTGACATGCAAAAAGAACACGAAACAGCACAGAGATGCCAATAGACCACATGAAGATGGAACAAGTGTGAAAGACACACAAACGACGACTAAACAACACAAAATTTAGACTCTAAAACAGACCATAAAGAGATAGAAAAACTGAGAAAAACACAATATAAACTCACTCTGATTCAAACATAAAAGAGTCACTACGAGATGAGAAACGACCACAAAGAGACTCAAATTGTCTCGAAACAACTACAAAGAGACAGAAACCAACAAAGAAGAGACACAAAATAAGCAAGACTGCAGAGAGACTGCAGAGAGACAGCAAACAGCCACTATGAGATGCAGAATGACCAGAAAAAGCAAAAACTGAAAGTGATTCAGAACGATGGCAAATCGCGAAAAATACAAGATATCGGAAATGACTGCAAAGACGCAATAAATGGCCACTACAAGACGCAAAATGAGTGCAAAACAACACAACATGACCACACGGAGATGCACACAGATAACAGAGCCTGAACCAGTGCAAAAGAGATTCATCATGAACATAAATGTATTCAAACTGGCTGCAAAGACACTTAAAATGTCCACCATGAGAGGCCAAGTGTCCACAAATGACTCTGGATAACTTGAAAGAAACACAAACAAATAAAAAAATGGGTGCAAAATGAACAAAAAAACACACAAAACAAAATGACAAGACAGTGACTCATGCAGACAACAAAGAGTCTGAAGAGATTCAACAAAAACTGATTCAAACTGGCTGAAAAACACAAAAGTGTGGATTGTTGGTTGTGTTTTGTCTCATAACTCTGCATCCTAGCACGGAAATGTAAAAACCAGAAACAGAAATCCAGCATGTTTGTGTCCCCAAATGTTACAGCTCAGCTAAATCTCAACCTGTGAGACGTTTGACGTCCTCATCGATCAGCTGGTTCTGTTTGTCCTGCTGCTGATGAAGGCGGCGCTCACCTGTGTCTTGCGGATCCTGAGGTCCGCTGATGATCTGTTGAGACCCTCCTCCTGCTCGATGCTCTGCTCGATTGCTGCACAAACACACAAACACAAGCTGCAGTGAGTTAAAATGCTGCATTTCAAGTGTGAAAGATGTTCATTCACGTTTCTCTGTTTCAATTTTCTATCTGACTTTCATCTTTCAGTTCTGGTGAAGGACTGAAACTCTGCAGAAAACCTGCTGCAGCACCTGAACCGATCAAAACGTGTGGATGGACATGTTGGTGTCAACCAGCAGGTATCAGGTTTTGAACTATTCTTATAATTTTGGGTAAGTTTTATGTTATTTTGGACAAGTGTAGAGGTATATTGGACATTTTATGTTTTTTTAAAAATAATCTTGAGTTAATTTTGACAAGTTTAGTCATTATGAGGACGTTTTGAATAGTTTTGGTCAAATTGTCATTTTGGAAAAGTTTTTTTTAGGTAAGTGTCACGTCATACTGAACATTTGTTTGTTATTTTGAACAAGTTTGAGCCACTCAGGACAAATTTCAAGTAAATGTAAACAAGTTTCAAACCATATTGGGCAATTTTTTTGTTTTGTCAAACATTTGGCAGGTTTTTGTCACCTTGGGCAATGTCGAGTCATTTGGAACACATTTCAAGACATTTCAGGTAAGCTTTTGTCATTCAGGACAAATTTCATGTTATTCTGGGCAATGTTTAGTCATTTAGAAAACATTTCAAGTCATTTTGGAAATGTTTCTGCCGTTTCTGACCATTTTTCAGCACATTTTTTTTGTATAATTTTGGGAACATATTCATGAATTGTTGAGGCAAAATTGACAATAATTTGAATAAAACATCAGAAACTAGAGAAGACTCCAGAGGTTTCCACCTGCAGCCGACCCATCTCTGTCTCTGAGGACAGATGGAGGTAAAACACCTTCCTCCTCCTCCTTTATCAGCTCATCACTCTGCTCAAGCTTTCTCATTATTCAACCAGGGGGACACAGTTTAATAATGTGTGGATATTTTGGTCTGTGGACGCCTACAGAGCTGAGATCACTGCAGCTCCGCAAGAAAACAGTCAGCAGGAAGGATGCAGCCACTCAGACCTTTATTTACCGCTCAATAACTCCTCATGGAAATATCGCAGCACTAGAGTTAATGAATACAACTGAAGGAGGCTCTCTGACCATGCAACGTGGAAACAGAAATCGCTGAAGTCACTGATGTGCATGAACGGTTGGGATGCTGAATGCATACTTTTAGGGGGAATTAATCAAAAATAATGTTATTATTTCATTTCATTTTACACTTTATGGCGAATGGTAAATGGTCTGCACTTATATAGCGCTTTTCTACCTTTGCAGCACTCAAAGCGCTTTACAATGTTTCTCATTCACCCATTCACACATGCATTCATTCATCAATGGTGACAGAGCTGCCATGCAAGGTGCTGCCTACCATTGGGAGCAACTTCGGGTTCAGTGTCTTTCCCAAGGACACTTCGACTGTGGAGGGGCGGGGGATTGAACCGCCAACCTTGTGATTGCCAGCTGAGCCCTAAGCCGCCCACAAACACTTTAACACTTAATATTTCTTGTTGCTTTGACAATAAGTCATGTTTTGGTGGTGATAAAAAAATATTCAATTTCAATTCATTAACTCAGCTGTATTAAAAACAGAGGACACTTTCAATAATTAAAAACACAGCAGCCCCTATTATAAACTTCTAATTTGACATATTTGTAGTTTATAAGTTGCTAAGAGTTCTGAAATATGTTTGCATATAACAGAATATAGTTTTGTTTAACGGGTAACTCGTTGACATGGAAACAAACTAAGGGAGTGTTCAAGTAAAAATATTTAATTTTTTATGTACATTTGGAGAAATTCTGAGTCCCATCGGATACATTTTGAGTCATTAGGACAAATTTCAAAGCATTTTGGACAAAGAGTTTTAGTCACATTAAGCATGTTATTGTCATTTTACACACATTTCGAATCCCAGTGGTCAAGCTTCAAGTCATTTTGGACAAATTTTGAGTTTGTATTTGCAGTTGTATCATACAGATCTTAGTTTGGGTTATTGAGTAACTAATTCACATGGAAACATACTGTACACGCTGTTGAGGCCTCCACTGAGGGGCGTTCAGGTAAAACTATGTAATGTATAAATGACATTACTATTATTTATGCTTTAATGTGCAAACAGTTGTTTAAGTGCTTCAGTTGGTTGTGGTGAACACAATCAATATTTCATTATTTGCTGACTATTTTAATTAATTGATCATTTGGCTTGTCAAAGTGTATAAAATAGTGAGAAACGCTGTCGCACTGACCCAGAATCCACAGTTACACCTCCACCTCCAGAACCACCTGGAACCATGAGATGTTTATTCAAATAGATGCCAGTTAATTTTCTGTCAATCAATTTAATGTTTAAAAGCCCTCAAAAACAAAAATATACACTTATGCAAACGTGATTTCCGGTCCAGTGAAATAGTTTAACTGAGATTTTTTGGTCTTTAGTTTGTATTGTCTGTTGTTTTAACCAACAGATCACTGTTTTAGATTAATGTGTGGATGCCAGTGTTTATTCCATGTCAAAAAGCTGCTCATTATTCCAAACTCAACTCTATTTGAAAGAAGTGCAGCTCTCACAATTGTTAGCTTTTTACCAGCTACAAATACAAGAAAACTGGAGTTTATTAGAGTTTATGTTGTTATTTAGATTTGTTTTTTACATCAGCTTGTGGACATTAAATTCTCAGTAATTTGAATAGCGGCCTGAAATCTGTGTGGGAACCAGAAAATGTCAAATTAAGGAGTTTTATCATTCAGATTTTAGAAGGTTCATAGAAAAACAAAAAGTAAATTATTTTAGCGAAACAAATAAAATAATGTAGGCTTAGAAATGTAAAGGTCTATTAGCTATTCCAGGAAGCTCTAAGAATTAATATGACCTGGATGACTGAGAATCCTCTCAGACATACAAAGGAGCTGAGTATGCAGACCGATGGGGGGGCGGGGGATGAGCAGGGGATTCGATCCAACGGGGCAGTGGTCACAGTACTGTATCCACCATCAGTGTTGGTGGCGGCAGAGAGAGGATATTTGGAGATCAAACTTGCTATCCCAATACCAGCACGGCGAACAAATCGTCAGCTATTTGGCTATTTGGGTCCAGCCCTAGCATATACTGACACATTTTGGTCTTTAGACTTTATAAAACAAATAACTCAAGATACACAAAAGCAGGAGTGCATACTGAAACCTTCAACGGTTTTAGGATTGTTATCCACTTTTTGTTGTTTTAATTCTGGAGGACAGTTCCATTGAAAGTGTGAATACTGTGTTGTTATGAGCCTAGCCGCCTGCAGGGGGCGCTTATGAGACTGCAGCCCTTCAGTTTAGCTGCAGGTGAAGTCCTGCGAGGTCAGACAGACTCAGATCTGAGTGTTACAGACAAACTGAATATCACAGCTGATAATTAACTCATCAGCTGTGACTGATCGTGTGTGTGTGTGTGTGTGTGTGTCGGGGGGGGGGAGGCGCCATGGTAACCGGCTGCAGGTCTGTCCTGGTGTCATGTGACTGTGATGTCGGTGTGTCTCCAGTGTTTGATGAGACGAACTGAAACGCTTATATAATGTTTTCCACTGAGTGTGTGTTCTCACTTTACTGACGTTGAGGGGACCTACATCATTTTGCTGCCAATGTGGGGACCGAGTTGTGTCCCTGTAAAGCGGGTCACTAAGTCTGAGGGTGAAGATCTGGTTTGAGGTGAGGGTGACGTCGAGGTAACATTCCAGAAAATGAGTGAAAGTCAATGTCGTGTCCTCTGAAGTGCTGGAGACATGAGGGCGAGTGTTTGCTGGCTCGTGGCCCAGCTGCTCGCTGCTGGATCCGCGATGACTCAGCAATATCACACAGCACTGATGGTGTGTGTGCGCTGTGTTTGTGTGTGTGCGACAGCGAGATGAAAACTGGGTGAGTAAGCAACAGATTGCGAGTCCTCGTGTGTCTGTTTGAGGACGTCTTTAGCATCTTTAGCATGTTTGTTTGTTCTTACGTAAAAATCTGTTCCAGGAATATAAGAAGCGTTCTGACCACAGCTGAGCCCCAGAAATAAAATGTAAAGATGAAATGTATTTATAAAAGCATTGCCCTCCTGTTAGTATTGTTTGCTTTATTCTGTATTTCTGGAATAGGTGCAAATAGTAGGTTTTGAGTCATTTTGGACAAATTAAACTAATTTTTGACAAGTTTTTAAGTCACACACTGGACCAGCTACAGAATTCAGATCCTATCAAACAGTTTCCACAATGATCATAAGAATACATTTACTACTTAAGACTTACTCATGCAAGTGCATCAGATTTGCATCAAACATATGTCATGGCATGAAAATTTCTCCAAGTACCCCAACAGGTCTACGTATTTGGTCACAGTTAAATTACACTAAACTACATGAGCAGTCTCCTTCAAACCGAGGTCTATGCCTACAAAGTGGGTCTGAAAAAGGAAAAATATGTTTTTAAAAAAATTCTTCAAACTTAGTAATATTTGGAGAACAATTTTGAAACTCCAGAACTCTGTTGTACTTGGATTATTCTATCTACCAATATTTTTGTGCTACAACTAAAACCTGCTCAATCAGTTATCAACCATTTAATAGCCAAGTATCACACAGGCTGCCTGGACTTTTTTTGTTGTTATTTTGGCTGTAAAAGAGTCAGAAATCATACTGTGAATGATTGCTTTTACCCCTTTTTTTCCAGCCCAAATGGTTGAGGAGTAAGACAGCAGGAACTTGTGAGTGCCTTGCGCTACTAAAATAAATCGATTATCACTGTAAAGCTCTTCTTCTCTTCTTTCAGACACCATTTGAATTTTCTCTCTAACACAAACACTAACAGAGTTACAGTAATTTAAAGAGCACTTATAAAATGGGAGCAGCGCTCCGGTATGATTTAAAGCATTATAGTTCATTTAAATATCATTTTTGTGATCGTCCATCCATCATCTATACACCACTTAATCCTCACTAGGGTCATGGGGGGCTGGAGTCTATCCCAGCTGACTCAGGGTGAAGGCAGGAGACACCTTGGACAGGTCACCAGTCTATCACAGGGCTACACTTAGAGACAGACAACCAAGCACACTCACATTCACACCTACGGACAATTTAGAATCACCAATTAACCTCAACATGTTTTTGGACTGTGTAGGAGGAAGCTGGAGAACCCGGAGAGAACCCACGCTGCACGGGGAGAACATGCAAACTCCACGCAGAAAAATCCTGGGTGTCCTCATTGGAATGCAAACCAGCGACATTCTTGTGGCGAGGCAACGATGCTAACCACTGAGCCGCCTTGCAGCCGTTTTTGTGATCAGGTATTTTATATTAAAAGTACTTTATACGTTTAGTTGTGTATTATTGTGACATGCAGCTTGATATAGAAAATATCACTAGTTGAATTATCTTTTTTTTTTGTTAATGAGCTCAAAGATGGAACTTTACAGCCTACAATCAGAAATTTGTCCAGTATAAACATGGAATAAATGACATGATGTGAAATAACAGTGAAGCTTTGGGTTTTTATTTTTAATACTTCCTCAGATTTCACTGTGAGAAAAAACCTGCTGAAAGTGGGTCAATGTGCAGGTTTCTAAAAAAAAATTGGGGGAAATACTTGATACACACACAAATATCTTTAGAACTATCCATATTTTAGACTATATATAAAAAAAATCAGAGATGGTCGAGCAGAAATTGTACAAAAACTTGGATGATTTGAGATGGAACGATCCTTTTCAGACCTGTTTTTGTTGGATGTTGTCGGTGGAGTCTGAGTGGAATCGAACAGTGAACACTGCAGCTCACCATTGTCACTAGCCTGAGGTTGCTTCAATGTTATTAGAATATTCTTTAAATGTTCTGGCTATTTAAAAGCATCTCAGTCGAAACGCAGACAGTCGATCAGCAACAGGAATCTGATGTGGGCGGAGCCTAAACCCCCGAGGACGACCAATCTACAGTCTGGGATGCTGCAGAGAATGTGTGTGTGTGTGTGTGTGTGTGTGTGTGTGTGTGTGGACAATAACACTGGCTGTTGCCTTGTGGTGATTCCAATTATAGCTTCATCTCCAGCATCACAGTTATTCTCAGACTGCATATGTACAGTCCGTGTGTGTCTGTTTTCACACACGTATCAACATGTTGCGTGTGTGTGTGTGTGTATGTGTGTGTGTTTCCATCCTCAGGCTGTTCACATTAAAGCAGTGATGTCCTTGAACCCAGAGCATGAACCGACTCAGTGTGTGTTTCTGGTAGCTTCAAGCTCATTGGCCGGAGTGTTTCTGTGGGTGTGTTACTCTGTGGGTGTGTGTGTGTGTGTGTGTGTGTGTGTGTGTGTGTGTCTATCTGTCTCAGTGATTACAGTTTGATAAATCGCCGCCACTGTTTGTGAATATTTTCTTCTGCGGCTGAAGGTCGACCTGCTCTCTCATCCCGGCAGTAAAACACCGTAAACCTTCTAATAAAACTGCACTCAAATAAGGCCAGGGTGAAGAAGGGTAAAAATCATCAGTACATAAAGGCAGCGGTTGATTTACTGAAGCATCACCTCCTCTGACACACTTGTCTCACTCCTGTTTCTTCATTTTGTTCTGACATTAAAGGTCAGAAGGTCAAGAAGCCATCAGAAGCCCTCAACGTGGAGCTCAACGTCTCAGATTTCACAAAAGGTTGATTTAGGTTTGAGGTGTTGAACAAAGACGGACATTGTAGGGATACTTCAAGGTGCTCTGAAAATATTAATAGTATGAAGGTAAATCGTTGCACGGCTTCATTAAATATACTAAAGGCGTTGTCGATAAAGAATCAGCTGATTCTGAGGAGGTCTGATGTGATTGTTTTTCTGTTGTGTCACATTCAGCAATTTTGTTTTAAAATGTGTCGTCTGAATAAACTGGATTTGAGTTGATCTCAGAGTAAAGATGAGCTCCAGACAGATGTAGTAAAGATGTAATAAAGATGTGAGCTGCTGCCAGGACTAAAGATGCCTCCTTCATCCTGATGAGTCTGCAGTCGATAATAATGAGCTTGGACGCGACAAATAACATGAGCTGGAGGCACTTTTGGCAAACCTTCAGGGACCTGCTGCCTCCATCATCGCAGGGATCCTCTTTAAAGGAAACGTACCTTTTAATTTTGAGCGGACTTTATTGGCTGTCTTCTTGATGTCAGCTGTGAGGTCCTCCAACTCCTGCTTGGTCTCTGCGAACACAAAATCAAACACAGAAGGTTTGTGAGTGTCTCCGACGCCACATTAACAACAATATTAACAATCAGGTCGAGTGCACAGACTGAAGCAACAAAACTCTTCTGTAACATCCTTCATGCTAAAGCTTAGATTTTCTCTTTTTTTTTTGCTTTTAATCATTTAGAACCAGCTGTGTGTTCCAGAAATTACATTCTAGTGGAGCAAAGTGAGATTATTCATAAAATATCTGTAAAATAACACCTGAATTTAAACTTCCATCAATGTCGGGGGTGAAAAAGATTTTTTTTTCTCAAATAAAAACACTAATACAACATTGAAAATACTCTATTTCAAGGAAAGAGCATTAGCGTACAACCTGAAAATGTAATTAAAGAAAAAAATCTTTTCAACCTTTTAAATGGGTAAATTTATATGTAAAAAAAATAATCTGAAAATAGTCAAATCGTCCTCAGAGTGAAACCTGCTCAGTGTTTTTTCTGTGCAACACTTTCAATTATTAAAACCATTAAAAGCAAAAACAACAAATGTTCAAATTTAGGAAGCCGCAATCCTAAAACTATTTAAAATGAATTATGAAAAAAATGTACCAACCATATAATAATACAATCATTTTGTAATTTAATTTAAAAAAAGAGTAACAAAGCTAATTTACACAATAAAAACATACAATTTCATCATCAATCGTTACAATAACCAGTGTTACATCAGTACACTGTATGTCTGACTACAATAAGTTATTTTCTACATTGGTTGTTTGGTTTAAAAAAAAAGAAGAGAGAAAATAGTGAAAAAATGTCCATAAAAATTGTCACATTTAGGAAGCTGGGAGACTGAAATAGTTCCTAATGAATCACTACTTATTAACTGTCATTCTAATTGAAGCTCAGCTCCACCTTAACGGCAATAAATGCTAATTAAGACGTTGTTAAAACTAAAGATTTGGTCATAAAATATCAAGTAATTCAACACTCACAGGAGGATTTTTACATTTAGTCTGTAACAGGGAGCAAATGGAACAATTTTTAATGCAGGAAATGAACTAAATAATTAACTGTGAGTGATTTTTCATGAATTTTGGGCCTCAGAGCAGAAAACAGCTCAACATGCTGCCGGTTTGTGAAGAATGAACGTGACCAATGAGGAGGAGGAGGAGGGGGAGGAGGTGCAGCAGCAGTAACATCACATCATGTCAGCCATGTTGGGGGAGGACGGCGGAGAGCGCCAACTGCAGCAGTGCAGTCAGATTTACGAGCGCTGCAGTGCAATTCAGCCTGTGACTCACCCTGCTCTCCGTCTGACCGCCTGCCTTCACTCCTGCAGCTCAGTTAGCATGGGATGCTAAAGCTCAGTGATACCTCTGCGGAGATGCTCTGAAACTCCTGCAGCTCAGTTAGCACATAATGCTAAAGCTAAGTGAGGGTCTCATTGGAGATGTTCTAAAACTCCTGCCGTCAGTTAGCACATGATGCTAAAGCTAAGTAAGGGTCTCTGTGGAGATGCTCTGAAACTCCTGTAGCTCAGTTAGCACATGATGCTAAAGCTAATTGAGGGTCTCTTTGGAGACGTTTGAAAACTCCCACCGTCAGTTAGCAAATAATGCTAAAGCTAAGTGAGGTTCTCTATGGAGATGTTCTAAAACACCTGCAGCTCAGTGCAGCTCAGTTAGCTCATGATGCTAAAGCTCAGTAATATCTCTGTAGAGATGTTCTGAAACTCCTGCAGCTCAATTAGCATATAATGCTAAAGCTAAGTGAGGGTCTTTGTGGAGACACTCTGAAACTCCTGCAGCTCAGTTAGCACATAATGCTAAAGCTCAGTAATATGTCTGTAGAAATGCTCTGACACCTCATTTTGACACTGTCATTTTTTTACTTTTTACAATTTCAGACCAGTTTTGTAATTTTGGACAAATTTAGAGTAATTCTGGACACATTTTCTGTCATTTAGGACACATTTTGATTTATTTTGGACTACATGTGAGTATTTTTAATTTGTTTTGGTCATCTAAGACAAAGTCAGTCTTTTTGGACAAATTTGGAGTCACTTTAGACAACTATTTTGTCTTTTTGGACAAATTTGGAGTCATTTATAATTGTTTTTATTGTCATGTTAGACAACCAACGAGGAGAAGATGAATCAAATATCCATTTCTGTTTGTACAGGTTAAATCCTAACAGTGCGACTCCTCACATCTCCGATCGGCTGCAGAGCAGGAAGTCAAATCGTGTGGTTTGGTTTTCTGATGTCGGTCAGAGAGGCTGGAGAAGCACTGAGGATCTTTATGAATGGCTGAACTACATCTGTACTCCTCTGCTCTCACTACAACTCCCATCATGCATTATTCAGGCAGAAACACTGAAATGCATTTTGCATGACAGCGTTGGCAGCTGAGAGCGAACTGACCCAGAATTGAGGAGAGAAGAAGAAACAAGGCGACATGTTTTCACCAGGAGGAAGAAGAAGAGTCCGAATGTCGAATTAGATCAGCGTGACGTTTGTCCGTCCGCCGCTCTGACATCATCGTCTGAGCATCACGTGACTGTTTGAGGCTGAATCTTCAGTTTGTTTCTCACCTGATGATGAATCTGGATCTGAAGGTTTGTCTCTCTTTTTAAACATTTTAATGGTCATCGTAAAGAACTTTGATCTGTTTGTGTGAATGACACACAAATTTTTAAAAAAACGATTACATTCTGGCACTAAAAAAATGCTGCAAAACAACAGAAAATAGCCATCTCATTAAAACAACAACAACAACAACAAAACCCCAGTATGTTTTTATGATTAAAATAATTTTTCAGCTGTAATTTTACAGGAGATCAAGTGTAATTTTTTATTTTGTTTTTGGCTTTTGAAAAATTAAAGGATTATTTTTTTTTATTGCATTATCTTTTTTTTATTTTAGAAACTTGTTTACAGTATTAAACTCGAGTTCACCTCCAGTTTCATCTGTTAAATAAAAAGTACATATTTATGAATATATTATTTGTGGCACCAAAAAAACCAGTAAAATTAAATAAATAAATTAACGGATCAAATTAAAATGGTTTTCTAGCCTTACTTTTATAGGCGAGATTTCTTTTTGGCTTTTGAAGGCTTCATGGATAGTTTTGGTATTTTACAGTATTTACAGCTGCTGGAATTCTGACAGAATGAAACGGGTAATAAATAAATGTTTATATATTTGTATACGTAAAATGTGTGAATATATAGATGGTAAATATCCATCTCATAAAAATACAGTAATTTCCATTATTAACATACTTCTGGCCTTAATTTCTTACATTAAATCATGTTTATTTTTGGGCCTTTTATTATTTAATGAAGAACATTCACATGTAAAAATGATAAAACGAATCATTTAAAAAAATAGATGTATATGAGAAACATGCCATAGATAATTAGATGATAAATAAAGTTTGTCCTATAAACATTCTGTTGAAAACACATTAATTCAACCTTTTGGTTGTGAAAACTTGTGTAATTATTCAAGATGTCTCTGATTTTACAAACTAATCTGTGAACTGTTTTTCTTTTAAGTGGCACTAATTGTATTTAATTTCATAAATATATTTATTTCAAGTATTTCACTGGAATTCAACAGTTTTATTAACTCAATGAGAAGAAAATATTTGTGAAATTCTGATGATTATTGTGTGATTATTTATTTATTTTAATAGAAAAGATGATGTTTGTGAAGCTAGGATCAGTTTGTAAATGTACCTTAACAGTGGTTTTTATGTTAAAACAAAGATTTAATTATTTTCCATTCGATGTGTAAATCTGCAGTTCGTTTTGTATTTTCATGTATTTAAATCTTATGAAAAAAAGTTTGAATATAAAGAGAAACAATTGAACAAAAAAAATAGATTATGCAAGAAATAAATCAGATTTTCACAGCCTGTATGAAACTGAATAGAGAATTAATTTCTTATTAAAAAAAAACAAAATAAAAGATAAACATAGGCAAAACACAAAATCTTGGTATTTTTAAACAAGTATTTTTTACTTAAAATGCACTCTTTGTAAACTGACCCCTGAACAGCTGACACCATGTGTTGGATACAGAACTGATCTGAATGTTCACATGAATAATATATTTCTGCTTATTAGCTGTTTTCTACATGAACTTACAGAGAAGCAGCTGAGGATCGTCGCAGGTTAACGTCATGCAGATTAAACAGGCAGCATGCAGCAGAAAACACAAGCAAAGAGGAAAAGAAAGAAAGAAAACAAGAAGGAAAGGAGGGACAACAGAAAATAAAATCATCATTTATCGTCATGCAGCAACAAAACAGAAAAACATCCACATGCAGCGACGGCCAGCAGCAGAGCCGACGTCACATCAAAAGACACGACAGCAGAACTGAAACGTCTCATATCTGAAGGAAACAACAAGCTTTTGAATCATCGGTTAGAAATCAGACACTGAAGCAAAGTATTGATTCTAAAGGATTTTTTAAGATTTAAAAAAAATCACCAACATTTCACTTATTATCAGATTTTCAACTTGAAGCAAATCTTCTCCAAGTCGATGCTAAATGACGACATAAAGGCCCACAAATAGATTTATAATCACCCCAAGGAGATGCAAAATGACGAAATGACACAAAAAGAAAAACAATGACAACAAAAACATTCAAAACAAATGCAAAGAGAAGCAACGAGATGCAAATCCTCTACGAGAAGAAGCAAAAGGACGACATAAGGACATAAACAGGAATATAGTTATCACAAAGATACACAAAATGACCACAAAAAGATAAAACATGACCACAAAGAGACACAAAACAACCACAAAGAGACAATAAACGGGTCTGGCACACAGTAAGTGAAGGTGCAGTTTACTGTATTTGTTTCCTTTTTGTTTCACTGAAGAAAATCTGAAAGCACTCTGAGGCAGATTCAGACTAACAGGAGCTTCTTTGGTTCTGATTACTGATTATGGATTATTGATTCCCCATCAGGGCCCATTTGCAGTGAGGTTCTGCAGCCTGTCCTGCTGCACCTGAACATCTGCAGCCTCTGTAGGCTCCAGACTCTGACAGCTCTGATTGGCCGGCGGCCCGAGCGCTGACACTGAGTCACTGCTGAGTCACGGCGAGTCGAGGTCGTCAAGCAGCCTCAGAGCGGAGACGCTCGGTGGCCGTTTGCCAGCAGGATCAGATTTCACTGGGAGGTTTGGGGTCGACTGACTGAAGCTCTCTGACACCGTTCAGAGCGCTTTGGTCTGAGTACAGTCTGACTGCAGCAGGCGGAGGGATACGCTGCTGCACAACAGGAAGTAGTCCCAGCAGTGACCTGACGTTCAGGTTAAACACCTGAGAACAGAAGCTGATGGATGATTTATGAACAGAAACAGACACACAGCAGCTGTTTCAGTTCAGGAAGCATCACACAGTCCCCCATCTTTGTAGTTCATTTGAAACCTCTTTTGTAGTCTTTAAGGTCTCTTCCTGGTCTTTTTTTCACATCTCTTTGTTGTAGTTTTGCATCTTTTGTGGTCATTTTGTGTATCTTTGCAGGACGTGTGGGCCTGTACATTTTCATACTGCTTCATGTTGTCATTTTGTGTCCCTCCGTGGACTGTTTTTGCCTCGTTGTGGTTGTTTTGTGTATCTTTGTGGTCATTTTGCATAATTTCGTCTTTCTTTTCAGTGATGTCTTGTCACTTTTTTTTGTTGTCATTTTGTGTCTCTGCGTTTTTTTGTGTGTTTCTTTTTCATCATTTTGAGCCTGTTGATTTGGGATTTTGGGTTTTACTTGTTCATTCCTGTGCTTTTCTTTTCTGTACTTCCTGGGTCTCTGTCCCTTTCCAGTTAGTTCCTGTTTTATTTTGAAACCACCTTTCCTTGTGTGTGTCTCTTGTGTCTTTACTTCTGGTCTTTGTCCCTCTTCCCTACTTTTTGAGAGTCCTCATTAGTTTCACCTGAGTCCTGTCACTGTGGTCACCCACCTGTCGGCTGCCTGTCTTACTGCTCGTCCTCCTCCTGCTCACCAGGTTCGTGTTTTGTACCTTTTTGTTTCATTGGATCACAGTCTTCATTTAGGGATGTTTTCTCTCTGGATCGGTTGTAGAAGTTGTGCGTCTCTTTGTAGTACAGTTGAGCCTCTTTGTAGTACTTTTGTGCTTGTTTGTTGTAGTTTTGTCCCCATTTGTAGTACTTTGTGTTCCTT